AAACTATTGCACCACTTAAAACATGTAGTGTGATATAGATCACAACATTTAAGCTCATATTATATAAATGTTATAACAAGAACAAGTTAAGGTTTAGCAATAACAGGTGCAATCTAATAAAATTATATATGTCATTGTTTTGTAGTATGAAGCCCAATAACAAGATACTACATGCTATGCTTAAAAAAAAAAATAATAATAATAATAATAAAAAAAAACTTCAGGTTATGGCTATAAGTTCTATTTATAATGTCAATATTTATTGCTTATAGCAAATAATTAATTGGCAACAAGGAAAAAAAAAAAGAAAAACAAATTCATTTTTATGATCCTAATCAAGATATTCTATCTCAAATTTGTCAAATAAGAAGAAGCATATGTGATATATAGCACTCAGAACTGCACATTATTTATCTTGTATGTTGACTAAACTCATATGAGTCATGCACATACATTATAAATGTGGAGTAGCATGTATGATACACACAGAAATAGCATGACTGCACCAAATATATTTCATCCGGGCACAGGAGTGTAGACCTTGTTGAATCGAAGGCAGGGAGAAAAGCGCCGGCGCCATGTAGAGGAGTATGAAGAATCGCAGTCACAAAAGCAATCGCCTAAAACTATCGGTTGCGACACAACGTAGCAGCGAGAAGGAAGCGCCACTGTCTGCTGTCGAGGAGAAAAGCTGCTGCGCTGAAACAGAAAAGCTCGGTGGTGACCTCAAACCTCCGTAAAACTCAATCAGACGTACATTCACAAATGATTGATATAGAACACTCGTGCTGATAACGTGTTATAATTGATTTCCTTTATTTGATGGTACATCCCAGTGAAACGGATTATAGAAATGGAATCGCAGATAGTACAAAGTGAGTACAGACTAGAGAGTAAATGAAAAGAAAAATAAGCAAGGTAAATTTCCAATACCATTCAAAAACCTCCCTTTATCAGTACATATGACATTTGTAACGGAAGATAATAATGGTAATATAAATATTTGACTGTTATGATCGTTACACAATTAATATTCATAATGCCCACAACAATTAAGTTTTATAACAAAATAAACCCCCTAAGTGGATTAGAAAAACGTCAATAAGCTAATAATAATTATATACACATATAATTTATAAACTAATTTCACTATACCCAAAACACCAAAAGAGTAATTTTCTCAATAGATTAAGAAGTCACTCCCATGTTAATTCATATATTTCATAATTTTGTAACATTATATTAAAAAATGTATCTCATTCCTTCCCCATACAAATATTCAAACGTGACAAAAATATGAAAATTCGCATTTGTGATAAATGCAAAATGAATATTTAAGGCTAAGGTACGGTCAAGGCAGTATGCCACTGCGGAGGAGAGTAATTGCATGGTGGTTGAAGAGGCAAATTAGTCAAGGGAAAAGAGCTACAAATTGATGAGCACCACTCAAATGTGTGGCGTTTTGCGTCAAAATCAGGACATTTACTAGACTTGCAGGAATGGATATTGAATTGGGCAAATTATATCGTGCACCAGGGTGCACAATGCATTGTGCGCCCTGATCAAAACGACGTTGTTTTGTATTTTTTTTTTTTAATTCTCTTTCTTGTTTCTATCGTTAACTTCTAAAAAAAATCCTCTGTTTTGGATGTACATAATTGTATAGTAGAATACACATAAACTCATAACATAATACACATAATTTAACATAATACATAATACACAAACTCTTAACATAATACATCTAAACTCTTAATAGAATACACATAAACTCCAATCGTTATGCTTTGGACCCGTATCTAGCATGCATGCTGGACACGGGTAACAGTGCCGTTAGGCACTGTTATCTTTTTTTTTTTTTTTTTTTTTTTTTTTTTTTTTTTTTTTTTTTAATTTCAGATTCGTTATAGGAGTATATGTTCATAATTTTATTACTATATGTTTATAATTGTAAGTTCATAATGTCAGAGCTCTATGTTCATAATTCAATAACTGTACATTCATACTTCCATAATTGTACATTCATAATTCCGTAACTGTACATTCATAATTCAATAGTTGTAACTTCATAATTTTCGAAGCTCTATGTTCACAATTTTAGAGTTCTATGTTCATAATTTTATCACTATATGTTCATATTGTAAGTTCATAATGTCAGAGCTCTGTGTTCATAATTGCATAACTGTATATTCATAATTGCATAACTGTACATTCATAATTCTGTAACTGTACATTCATAATTCAATAACTGTAAAATCATAATTTTCGAAGCTCCATGTTCACAATTTTAGAGCTCTATGTTCATAATTTTATCACTATATGTTCATAATTGTAAGTTAATAATGTCAGAATTCTGTATTTATAATTTTATAACTTACATTCATAATGTCATAACTGTACATTCATAATGCCATAACTGTACATTCATAATCCCATAACTGTACATTCATAATGGCACAAACGAATAACACCGTTAATGCCGAGATAAAATCAATTTTTTTTTTAAAACTGGAATGACGCGTTTTTCTTAAAAACAACGTCGTTTTGGACTCGTGTCCACAATGCATTGTGGACACAGGTCCAGGGCATAATTTGTCCATAAACTCTTAACATAATACAAATAAACTCTTTAACATAATACACAAAATTTTAACATAAAAACTACGTCGTTTTGGGCAGGGCCCTAGTGCACGATATAACGATTGATTGAATTGATTTCCTTAATTATCTCACGTCTAAACGGTTGGTCGTTAGTTTTTTAGATCATATGGAAGGGGATACCCAAATACATGCATTATAGATTTATAGATCCATTGGCGCCACACCGGGATGCCATATTTATCTTCCTCTAAGATCGCTAAGATCTCATCACTAGGATAATCATAAATGGTGGTCTTGAGGAGCACGGCCGGGGCTTTAGCCAGAAGTCTGCGCCTAGGTTCTTATCTCTTGCAACGAAGGAAAGGTTCCAGGATCCAATGGTTGCAAGCACATTCTTGCAGGCATGCAGAAGGTTATCTACAACACTGTTGATGATGGCTTCCGGGTTGATTGCTTCAACAATCTTCTTGGAGTCACTTTGAAAACATGTCTGTTTAGTACCAATCATCTTTGCAAATTGGATACCTTGAAGTGCCCATGCTTCAGCTACTTACGCCGAGCATGATCCAATATCTTATATGAAACCTTTCACCCCTGGAAATTATGAAATTTCTGACCACCTGAAAATAATCTTAAATTAAGTCAAAAGCGTTGTTCCGACCATTTTTGGGAAAAATCTTTATTGCTATTTTCGACTACTTTTTGTTTTCGACTTGATATAAAATTACTTTCAGGTGGTCGGAAATTTCATAATTTCCAGTAATGTTTTAACCAATCTCCTTGGTGATTCTTTGCGAGACCCCCACATATGGCTTTGTTGGTGACGGGGTTAAAACTACCATCAATATTCACTTTTATCCAACCCGGAAGGGGGTTTAGACCATCTGACTAGCTTCCAAACCTTATCCGTTGCTTGACTTGTTGGCAGGGGCGGACCTACAATGGAAACAGTGGGGGCAGCTGCCCCCACTCACCCCACCCCCACCCCCACCCCATATATAGCCCTTGTATGTATATGTGTGTATATATATACACATGTTTAGATATAAATATATAAAAAAAAAAAAAACAGATAAGAGTACACAATAGGTGAGCTGGGCAAGATGGCAAGGCGCGTGCCTAATGCTAGGAAGTGTCTGGGGTTTGAATTCTTGGTTGTTCAACAAAGTGTTTTTTGATTTTTAATCCCTTGTGTTTGGATTTTTTAAGTTTTTTTTAAATATATATAACTTCTTTTATATTAATAATGAGATAGTGTAATTTATAATGTGTTTTCTATTTGAATTATTTTATCAAATTAGTTATGTTTCATATTTTGTTATGAGTATTTTTATAAAGTTTTAATGTGTTTTATTTTTCGCCTACATCCAATAATATTTAATTATTTATGACTATATTAAGTGTTGTATTGTTTTTTAAACTATAATGTTTCGCCCCCACTGGACAAGTTGTTGGCCTGCCTGCTCTGTTAAAAGCATTATTGATTTCGTTTGTTTGACATTGGATCCAGAAGTTTCTGTACTGTAGACAATATTTTCAACTTTGTTGGTGAAGATTCTTTCGTTCCTCCATTTCCATAGCCACTGGCTGTCACCGCAAATAGAACACTACGTTTGTGAATTTGATTTGCTGATAGATATATTAGAGATGGACCCGAAACAAACGGATGCGATGGAATATAATAGAACAATATTTATGGGTCCGATTGGACCGGGGTCGAGTTCTATGCTCGACCCCAATTGCCGAAACCTAGCCCATGGCTCGATCCCAGGTCGCTAAGGCCGAGCCTAGTGCTAATTGGCCTCGGTCAAGCCAACCGGATCTCTCATATGGGAGGTTGTGGGTTCGAGCCTCTTCAGTGGAGGCAGTATTTACTCTTTGTGCTTCAGTAGGATGAGAAAGTAGTAATCTCTTTATACTTCAGGGGATTGAGAAAATAGTAGTAGTTATGAACAGATACTGCATTATATTAGAGTCAGTAGTATTAAAAAAAATTACTTTATTTTATTAAATAACCATCTTAGATTGTGAGGTGTATATATAATTTTGATTCATCCTGAACGAGTAAAACTCGATGAATAAACTTCAATACAATAAATTCATAATTTCTATACTGTAGATTCATAATATTTGTACTGTAGATTTATAATTTCTGTACGGTAGATTTAAAATTTATAAACTGTATAGTTATCAAATTATGATAGTTCGGTGATTTGTGAAAACAGAGTTCAATAGTTGAAAATATGAACATCGAAAATTATGAACATATAGTTCTATAATTATGAATATATATTTATAAAATTATGAACATATAGCTCTATAATTATAAATATCCCGTATAAAAATTATGAATATGGTACCACAACATAATTTGCCTGCACATCTACATTATGTTTTTAAATAGCTACATTGTTTGGGATTGCTTTCATTCACTTGATTTTCAGATTCTCTAATTAAGCTCTCAAGATCACAGAAGACATGTCAGGTGCTAGCCGTTGCGGATTGCTTTCACTTGCGATCCTAGTACTCGCCACGCTTGTATCTCCAAGTTCACAACGTGGTTTAAGAATCGATGAAAACGGGATGAAAACTCAAACTTTCCTGTCTCCTAGGGTCGAGCAGGAACCTGGGTTAGTGAGCAATAAGTATTTCTACGATATCGGCTTCCCAAAGGGCCACATCGCCGTCAAGCGTTTCGACGCCGAGATGGTCGACGAGGCCGGCCGTTCTGTCCCTCTCCACCAAGCCTATATCCACCACTGGGCTGTCAGGAGATACTTCAAACCCTTGGGCTTGGGCGATATCTCCAACAATGATCACAGCACATACAAGCTGGCGATGAACGCCGGCATCTGCGATTCGCTTCCGCAGTATTTCGGACTGGGCGCTGAGACACGAAGAACCGACACCCATGTTCCGGATCCGTACGGAATCGAGGTGGGGAATCCACCGGAAGGGTACGAGGATGCGTGGGTGCTCAATCTACACACGATTGACACCCGAGGCACGGTGGACAGTCTCCGGTGTCTGGAGTGCAAGTGTGAGCTGTATAATGTGACGGTGGATGGGTTCGGAGATCCTATTGGCGACGTTTACACGGGCGGGATCAGGTGCTGCTTTGACGGCGTTAAGTGCAGGCTTAAAGATGGATACAGTAGTAGTGATGTAAAGAAAGTGTATTACATGAAGTACACCGTCACTTACGTTGACTGGAATCCGTCTATCGTTCCTGTCAAGATTTATATATTTGACGTCGCTGATACTCTGGAATGGCGGGAGGCCCTGCAACGACATCATTGCTGGGTCAGTCAATATCTATCCCAATCCAATTTATTGTTTTAATCAATATTTTCATAAATGCAATCATTATTGCAATTTATATCGTGGACCTGGGTCTGCCGTGGTACAATACGCATCATTTAACTTCATAATATACAAAATTTATGTTCGTAATGTATAGAATTTTTGTTCATAATATACATACACATAAACACTTAATATAATAAATAGAATTAATATTCATAATGTACAGAATTCATGTTCATAATACACATAATTCATGTTCATTATATCATATTTATGTATATGTGTATTATGAACATAAATTCTATGCATTATAAAATGAATTCTGTACATTATGAAGTCAAATTATGTGTATTAAATCAAGATTTATAGTGTAATGTGGATCCCAGTCTACGATATAACAATTGAATCATTATACCGAATTATGGTCCACACAGTGTTACGTGGATCATAACAAAAAATACATTTTTAATATACTAAATGTACATTATTTTTGTACTATATGTACATTATACAATATAATGTACACTCAGTACAAAAATAATGTACATCCTCTGAATATAATGTATATTATTTTTGTACTGAATGTACATTATTTTTGTACTGAATATACATTATTCACTAGTGGAAATTATGGAATTTTCGACCACCTAAAAGTGATCTTAAATCAAGTCAAAAGCCTTGTTCCGAGCACTTTTGGTATCCGGAAAAACCTTTATTGCTATTTACGACCACTTTTTGGTATTAACTTGATTTAAGATCACTTTTAGATGTCGAAAATTTCATAATTTTCAGTAGTAATTTTACAATATACAAAATATGATTCATACAACTTGGGCAAATTATTATGTGGACCATGGTCCACACAATGTTACGTGGACCATAACAAAAAGTACATTTTAATATATTAAATGTACATTATTTTTGTACTGAATGTACATCATATAATATAATGTATATACTCAGAACAAAAATAATGTACATCCCCTGAATACAATGTACATTATTTTTGTACTGAATATACATTATTTTTGTACTGAATGTACATTATTTTACAGTAGACAAAATATGGTTCATACAACTTGTGTGGACCATGGTCCACACAATAATAATTGTACAACTTGTGGTCCATACAATAATGATTGTTGGATCTGCGGATGGGCCTATACGGCATAAGTATTTTCTCTTTAGTTCATTCTTCTTTTATAGCCGAATACAAAAAACTTTAAAGAAATGATTTCTAAAAGTAATTTTTCATTCTCTCAAAAAAAAAAAAAAAGAAGTAATTTTTCATGTTTTCAAACAATAATGTTGAATTTTCACAAATTCAAGAAGATTTGATCAATTAAGAAATTAATTATTTTTTAGATAATAAGGAAATAATTAATTTATAATAAAATATTCTCTTTAACTTCCGTTGAAAAAAAAAATAATTAAGAAAATTGTTAAATTCTTAAATATATATATATATATATATATATATATATATATATATATATATATATATGACGATATTTACTTTATAAGATAAGAAAAATGTCATATCATTTGACATGTAAAGCCACATGTAAGCGCTCCCCATAAAAATAATAATAATAATAATAATAATAATAATAATAATAATAATAATAATAATAATAAGGGAAAATTGTACTTTTCGTCCCTAAGTTATAGGATAATTGTAGAATTCGTCCCTAAGTATTGGCCATGCTCACGTTTCGTCCCTAAGTGTTGGTCATGTTCACTTTTCGTCCCTAAATTATCATTGACGTTGCACTTTTCATCCTTGAGTTATACTAAAATTGCAAATTTCGTCCCTAATCACTACTACATAAATGGTATACTACGTCACTTAATAGACGGAGGTTTTTTAAATAACCATTGTCTAATATATTTTGTTATACTACATCACTTAATAGACAACAGTTTTTTAAATAACTGCCGTATATAGTTAACATATACGGTGGTTTCCAAAACCGCCGTAGAAAGTGTATATTTACAACGGTAGTCACTGATACGTGCGACACTTCAAAAACCACAGTGTATGTGTGAAGAAAGCCGAAGGTAGGTATTTAAAGTGCATGATGTAACAAAATTAATTAAGGTATATATGACGGTTATTTAAAAAACCGTCGTCTATTAAATGACGTAGTATACAAAATATATTAGACATGGTTATTAAAAAAACCTCCGTCTATTAAGTGACGTAGTATACCATTTATGTAGTAGTGATTAGGGATGAAATTTACAATTTTAGTATAACTCAGGGATGAAAATTGCAACGCCAATGATAAGTTATGGACGAAAAGTGAGCATGACCAACACTCAGGAACGAATTCTACAATTACTCTATGACTCAGGGACGAAAAGTGCAACGCCAATGATAACTTAGGGACGAAAAGTGAGCATGACTAATACTCAGGGACGAATTCTACAATTACCGTATAACTTAGGGACGAAAAGTGCAATTTTTCCTAAGAATAATAATAATAATAATAATAATAATAATAATACATATTCCTTATAACTCATTTTACCTGTCATGTTTACTATTTATTACTCAAATCAATTCTTTTTCTTTACCTGCATAAGTCAAACTTTTTTTTTTTTGTCTAACCCAATCCAATTTATATTTTAATCTATTGATAAATGCAATTGTTATATTGTGGACCCTGGTCCTATATAATGTCGCTTTGAATTTTAATTTGACAGCGATCATTTGTTATTCAGTTCACGTTATCCTTTTTATTTTTATTTTTTTGCTATAAAGCATGTGTTATGCGTTTTTGGGTCTCATGTTAATATGTTATCTAATTCTGTACCTTAAGGGCTCGTTTGGTTCGCAGAAAATATTTTAAGAGAAGTGGAATTGAAATTCAATGGAAAAACAATTACTAGGAAGATGAATTTCATTGTTTGGTTGGTGGAAAAAGAATTACTGGTAATACTAATTCTATTGTTTGGTTAGATTTGGAATTGTAAGGAATAACAAGTATAAAGACCTATATACCCCTACAAATTAATAAAAGTAATATAGTTAAAAAAAGTAAACAAGGGTAAAATAGGTATTCCATCTCACTTTTTCTTCACATCTCCCATGGTCAACCAAGGATTTTGTTTTCCTCAAATTTGAGGAATTCATTTTCCAATGAAAAATGAATTCCATGAACCAAACACAAGAAAATAACATTTTCCTCCACTTTAAGGAAAATGTTTTCCTTCCATGAACCAAACATCCCCTAAGCGTATGGATTTTGTACCTGAAATATATTAGTTGTGTAACGCAACATATTCTGCGTTTTATTTTACAAATTTATGTCTTGTATTATGAAATTATGTGTCTATAGGACACAAATTATCTACATAAATCATATTTGAGAATAAATAAAATATATAACATGTGTATGTGTCTTGTGTTTGTGAATTTTTGTGTCTTGTGTTATGAAATTATATAACTTAAGAGTATTGATTATGTACCTAGAATAAATTAAAATTTGTGTTGAAACGTGATAAACGAAAACTACATAATTTGTTAAATCTTAAATATCAAAACGACATCATTTTGATCTTAAGTCCATAATGCTATGTGAATCCTGGTCCACGATATAAATTATCTTATTAAGTTGAATTAAAGAAAATAAATAAAAATTTAATTTTTAATCTTTTGGGCTATGAGCCTCAATCATTATTGTGTGGACCATCCATATTTTGTATACTGTAAAATAATGTACATTCAGTATAAAAGTAATGTACTTTTAGTATATTAAAAATGTACATCGTATTCAGGGAATGTACATTATTTGTGTACTGAGTGTACATTATATTGTATAATGTATATTCAATACACAAATAATGTACATTTAGTATATTAAAAATATACTTTTTGTTATGATGCACACAACACTGTGTGAACCATGGTCCACACAATAATTTGCCCTATGCGCCTAGCCTTACTAATTTTTTATTTTTTGACTTAGTCCAATATGATCCATATTTTAATCAGGCTAACCCAAACTAGTATAAACAATAACTAGATAGATGGCAAGCCAACCAGCAAATTTTATTGTGAACTATGGTCTATGTCGTAGTGTGGTTCATAGAGTAAATATCATTTTAATTACTCTTATTACACACACTAATTTCATAATAGCAATACTAAAGTGTCATTTTAATTCTACTAAGGTTTCATTTGACAATAATATTATTGTATGAGCTCCAATTTGTAGTTTCATTTTTCACACACTAATTTAATTATAATAATGTTAAAGTATTATTTTAATTACACTCCACGTTTATTTGATTATATATGTTACTTTATGATTTTGGATTTTAGTTTATTTTACACACACACTAATTTCATTTTAACAACATTAAAGTATCATTTTAATGATACTACAGTTGCATTTGATAATATACGTTGTTGAATGAGCTATGTTTTTTAGTTTCATTTTTCACACACACTAGTTTCATTTTAGCAACACTAAAGTATCATTTTAATTTTACTACAGTTTCATTTGACAACAATGATCTATGGACCATGGTTTACTGTATAACAACCGTAAGCCAACCCACCTATTAAACACTACTCAGAAAGAGAGAAAAAGATTAAGCATTAGAAAGGAATCTAGAAAATGTCTTTCGAATAAAAATCGAGAAAAATATTATCCGTCAAAATGGATCATTTTTTTTAGCAGAATAAGTATTTTCTCTTGAGTTCATTTTTTTTTTAGTGATCAAATACTAAAAAAAAAAAATTTAAATAATTTCTAAAAAGTAATTTTTAGAATTTTCAAATAGACCCTTAATGTTGGATTTTCACAACTTGAAGAAAATTTGATCAATCAAGAAATTAATTATTTTTCTAGATAATAAGGAAATAATTAATTTATAGTAAAAATACTCTTTAACTTCCCTTGTTAAATTCTTAAAAGAAAAATATAATTATGACAATAGTTACTTTACAAGATAAAGTAAAATGTCATGTCATTTGACATGTATCG